AGACTCCACCTGAAAAACAAATTCAGTAAAGTTGCAGGATGCAAAATTAACATACACTAGCATTTCTATATGCCAACAGCAAATGATCTGAAAAAGAAGCCAAGAAAGAAATTCCATTTACAATAGCTACAAATAAAGCAAAATACCTAGGAATAAACTCAAATGAAGTAGTGAAAGATCTCTACAGTGAAAACAATAAAACACTGATAAAAGAAAGTAAAGAGGACATAAAAAATGGAAAGATATTCCATGCTCATGGATTGGAAGAATCAATATTATTAAAATATCCATACTACCCAAGGCAATCTATAGATTTAAGGCAATCCCCATAAAAATGCCAATGACATTCTTCACAGAAATAAAAAAAATAATCCTAAAATTTATATGGAACCACAAAAGATCCAGAATAGCCAAAGCCATTCTAAGCAAAACAAACAAACAAACAAACAAAAAACCCAAAAAACAAAACTGGAGGAATCACATTCCCTGACTTCAAATTATACTACAGAACTATAGTAACCAAAACAGCATGATGCCAGCATAAAAACAGAGATGCAGACCAATGGAACAGAATAGAGAACCCAGAAATAAATCAACACATCTGTAGTGAACTTATCTTTGACAAAGGTGCCAAGAACATATAGTGGGGAAAGGACAGTCTCTTCAATAAATGGCACTGGGAAAACTAGATAACCATATGCAGAAGAATGAAACTAGACCCTTGCCTCTTGCTATATACAAAAATCAAATCAAAATGGATTAAGAGTTAAATCTAAGACCTGAAACTATGAAACTACTAAAAGAAAACATTGGGGAAACACTTCAGGACAGTGGTCTGGGCAAGGATTTCTTGTATAATGCCCCAAAAACACAGGCAACTAAAGCAAAATTGAAAAAACAGGATCACATCAAGTTAAAAAGCTTCTGAACAGCAAAGGTAACAACCAACAAAGTGAAGAGAAAACCCACAGAATGGGCGAAAATATCTGCAATCTACTCATCTGACAAGGAATCAATAACCAGAATATATAAGGAGCTCCAAGAACTCAATACGAAAAGATCAAATAATCTGATTAAACAATGGACAAAAGACCTAATTAGAGGTTTCTCAAAAGAAGACATACAAATGGCCAACAGGTATATGAAAATATGCTCAACATCATTAGTCATCAGAGAAATGCAAATCAAAACTACAATGAGATATCATCTCACCCCAGTTAAAATGGCTTTTATGAAAAAGGCAATAATGAACGCTGGTGACGATATGGAGAAAGGGGAACCATTATACACTCTTGGTGGGAATGTAAATTAGTGCAAACACTATGTAGAACAGTATGGGGGTTCCTCAAAAAACTAAAAATAGAGCTACCATATGATTCAGCAATCCCACTGCTAGGTATATATCTAAAAGAAACAAAATCAGTATATCAAAAAGATAGTTGTACTGCCATGTTTATTGCAGCACTATTCCCAATAGTCAAAATTTGGAATCAACCTAAGTGTCCATCAACAGATGAATGGACAAAGAAATTATGGTATATATATACAATATAGCTATAAAAAAAGAATGAAATCCTGCCATTTGCAACAACATGGATGTAACTGGAGGACATTATGTTAAGTGAAATAAGCCAAACACAGAAAGACAAATCTCTCATGTTCTTACTCATATGTGGGAGCTAAATATTAGAACAGTTGATCTCATGTAGACAGAGCATAGGATGATGGTTACCAGAGGCTGGGAAAGGTAACAGGGTTGGGGAGATATAATGGGGATGGTTAATGGGTGCAAAAATATAGTTAGATAGTTCGTTATATAGAATGAACAATATTTGATATCACAATGAAGTGACTGTAATCAACAAAAAGTTAAGGTATACTTTAAAATAACAAACATTGGAATGTTCCTAACATAAAGAAATGATAAATGCTGAGGTGATGGATACCCCAATTGCCCTGATTTGATTAACATACATTGTATACCTGTATCAAAATATCACATGTACCCTATAAATATATACAACTATTATGCACCCATA